TTTGCAGCAGTATTTCTCTATATGGACCGAGGACCGCAAGCGGGGCACTCTCTCACTTTGCGGAATCTTCAATCAGTTGGTTTTTCGTTAGTCTATCGATTCTCGCGGAGGTCAACAGCACTCTGGAATTCCCTTCCAGCGACCGTGGTGGAGAAGCAGACAGATACTGCTTTCAAACGGCGTTCGGATGAGCACATGAAGGGGCTACGAAGGAACGAACACTTGTGATCGGACCTTTGATCCAGTGGTGATGGAGTTTACACGGATACCGTGCCCTCTGTCTTAAAGACTAAAGACTGCTCAAACCGCAACAAACACCAAGGGTTTACCGAGGTTGCAATCTATTCATTTACAAAAACAACAGGCGAGTGTCTCATACCAGCCGGGTAAATCCATATGTGGAAAGAGCGCGGAGTTCATTTGAAGCGAGAGCATAAATCTATTTCTGTGTATGTTGTGAGTACATGAGAAAGAAAGCAACAGATTGAGTTTGATTGCCAAGGAGACAGGGCGTGATGAGGATTTCGTTTTGTCGGTCTATCAATCAGTTAGCAAAGAAGATATGAAAAATAGCAAACTGTCAAATTAGTTTTGTAAAGACAAAATGAACATCATTCCAGTTTTTATTAGAACTAGATATATATATATATCTTTATCAATTTTGTATATATATTCCAAAAGACTGACGAATACATTTCGGAAACACTACGCTGAACAATCGTCTCCAACATTATCATCATGTGAATCATCCTAAACTGTTCAATCACTCCGCCTGGTTTGAAGTTGAATTGCTGTTGTTGTCAGACACGATCTGTTTTTCTTTTTTTCGCAGTGCGATGATTCAGATATGCCAATAAACAGCAGGCATATCAGACAGTTTTGTTTGAACCTACTTCGTGACTCCGTCGCTCCTCGAAGCATATTGAACGCATGACGCCTCGGCAAACTGCGAACGACAGAGATTTACCCGGCTTTGGCACTCGTCTCCTTCTCTACTCGTGATTTTGACACTTTTCGATTTGAACCTTGGGGCAAACATTTATCATTGTAATTATTTTTGTTTCCCTTTTTGGAGTACGATGAAAATTGAGACGACTTGCCTTGATTGAATCCTGACATGTATTCTTTTAGCTTGACAGAACAGGTATGAAGTTGTAAACATTTGCTGCCCCACGGGTTGAGATAATTCGGTTTTTTATGCTAATGCTACAACATGGTATATGTGCTATGATATTACTAACATATATTATCTCAGTTAACAGCTGATTTATATTTTAAAATATCTGAAATTGATCACGTTGCATCTCTCATAACCAACGAGACAGATTGCAGGTTAGCCCCGTTTATACACGGGATCCAAATAAGCTTACTATTGAATTATGAAGTTGGAAGGAACCTATTTTGCGGTTTGGGTGCTTGCAGAATGTTACGTACTGCTGAAAGTTCCAGCACCATTGAAAACAACTGTCTTCGTCAGTCGTTGCACAGCCCTCTGTCTCTCTAGCCCGGGTAGTACAGAGTGTCATCAACCCGAGTTTTAGATGTAGAACTAAGGGTACTTTTAGTTGTTTTTCGACTTATAAATACTCGTACTAGTAAATTTATTATCAAAAGTAGCAGTGTGTAATAAACACAGGTAGTAGGAAAAGACAACCTAGCCCCTTGGGACCTAGAGTTGCCAACAACATACGGCTCCAAATGATTTGGTTGTGTGAGTGGTTGCCGACAAAAACATAAGCGCTAAATGTTCGAGGATAAACGGCGTAAAACCAAGAGAATATCATTCAAGTTTCATGATCCATTAGGTTTCTTGGGCCTTCAGAAGGGGTTTCTCAAATCTGATGTAATTGGAGAAATACATTCAAAGGAGTACTCAGTAAGCTGATCTGGTCCTAGGCAAGAATAAAAATGTCCCCATTTTAGAGAACCCTGGGATGATAGTTGCATCTTCCGTTAACCTTGAGTATTTAGTTACTTAGGCTCTGCAATGAAATTGTTTCACTGCACTCAGATCTGAGCACCATCACTGCTTAAGATATAGAAGCTCAATTTATTTTCAATACCGTCCTAACTCCTTGTCCGTGTGCATCCCACCAAAAATAATCTACCTGCTCCCAAATGGACTCTTATTTACTTGGTTCCACAGTGTGTTTTACAGTTCTACTGAGTCTTTAGTGTTCCTGCTATATTAGTCTCGTCATATGGTTAAACTTCCCTACATGCAGATCTCTCACGTTAATTTTTACCCTAAGGATGTTTTACTCTGTTTCAATTTCTCATTTGTGAAAAGCACAAATACGTTCTACAATGGAATAATTTACCCTCGTATGGTGCGGGGCCACCTCTTCTGCCGTAGCACTTTCAGACCGTGCTCAACCGAGCTTACTGAGTTGTTCCCGATCTACTTTTCTTTCCTTGCGAGACTTGGTGACAAGGGTCAATTCACCCTCACCAGGTTACTCTAAAATCCTGTAGAACGGCTGCGTTTAAAGCCCCATTTTCAAAGAACTACAGAATTGTGGTTTATTGTTTTTGCTCCTTTGACTAACTTTTCGATATCCAAAAGCAGAATCGATATGTAAGTTGTGGCTGAAATGAGTGTTTCCCATCCTCATTTTGAATTGATGATGGAGTTCATCGTTGTGCTATACATCATGTTTAGCATATAATAAAATGATTTAGAATACACGAGATGATCACTACTACAAACTCGACTGATGAAGTAGCTCAAATAATGAATTTCTCATTACACAGAACAATGGAAACGTGAAATGGTAAACCAGGAAGCACAACAAAATGCTTCTGATACTCACTAAGATCAAATCAAGTGTACGGTGCTTCCGAGGTTTCCAGTTCA